CTTTTTTTATTTTTTACTAATTATAATGGTACTCTGTACACGTTTACAAGTTCTTTCTTTAGTTCTAATTCATGATTTCTTCAAATGATGAGCGAAGAAAGAGTTTCGTATACCGTGACCCCGTATGCGAGATTGGAATCTTGATACACATCCAGATAGATGAGATGACTGACATGAGGGCTTATTATAATAATAAATAAGTACAGATTTTGGTGAGAAACTGTTTAAATTATAAGATAATAATGAACAGGACTAGGTGGCATATTTCAATACAATGAAGATTGTAGTGAGATTCAAATGCAAGAAGCGTTCACTAAAACTGACCAATTTTGAATTGCGACATATAATGTAAATTTTGTCACTAACAAGAACTTCTACTTGTATCAATGTATGCTTCTTACTATTGAACCTAACTGTTACTTGAGGGTACGCCCGCTCCGATCCACTCATGTATACATGATAGGCACTCATAGCGTTCGAAAATTTCAAGAAACTCACTACGTTAACCATTTGATTTTTCATCGAACTAGTGCTATGAAAAGGCTTTCTTTTACATTGCCCGCAAGAAAATCGCAGAATTTTCTGATTAGTCTGTTGCTGCATCAGGATCCTCTGTTCGGAATATGAGCCAGTCTAATGTTATAATTAAAAGAGTTAAATAAAGTTCTTTACTTACGACGATCGTTCTCTTTTAAAGTGTCAATTAAGCTCGGATTTCATTTCTATATTTCTGTCATAAGTAAGTAGGAAGACAGGGTTTTCTAATACAAAAAGTTACATCTGTGGTAGGATTTGAAGATAGCATTTTGATTGTACGACCGCGGCTTTAGAACATAAGTTTCCTAAAGATTCAACTCACATTTAGAGGTTGGGCGCTGATAGTCATAATCAAACATTTCTGAAAAAGTTCTTTGTTTTCCAGCTTAATCCATAGAACCGAAGCAATTATATGACAAAATACCAATAACTAAATCACATTAGTCGCAAACCGTAGTTGTTACCTGTCATACATGTACAAAATTGAACAAGAATCTCAATGTCATTTAGCTTTTCCGGTGTATTTTCCCCCTAAAACACCATTACGTCAGTCGAGCGTAAGTTGTTCGTTGTTTCGAATATGCACATGTACCTGCTCAAATTTCGACTTTGGATTTAGAGACGAGTCATGACGTGCATTTCTCATGCATTCAGTTATATGTTCGAGACAGCATCGATACTATTTGCTGTTGAGAGCTCAAGTGACCTGTCCGATACGGTACTACTTCACTCAAAAGAAATTAGTAGTGACAGTTTTGGTTTACGGCGTTTTCTGACTACGTACCAGACATCTCGTACGTTCGATTTATCGGCATTAATTTCACAATATCAACGTACATGGATTCTATATACAAAATTATTGATATTCAATAATTCAGTATTGAATATGGAAGATTCCCCGATATATATGTACAACACAGAATATAATCAGTTGATATTCGACACGGGCTATTCTATGTCTATTTGTTATGGTGCTTTGACATCAATGAACAAATTTCGTTGTTATTCTTCACACTATTATAAGAGAAAAACATGTAAATGGATAATGAGATTTAATTTGAATAAATTTGAAATTGATGACTTACAACGATCACCATTCAGACGAGTTATTACCGTACAACATATTGATCGTGGAGTCGTCGTTGATGTTCATAAATATGGGTTTATTTTACATATCTGTATTAGAGGTAATCCAGCCGAATATATTCAAGCGAAACCAGGTATGTAATTACTGTTTTGTGTTGAAAATAATGGGATAAAGTTCTTTTTTTCAACAAAAAAACAAGGTCATTTGCAAATAATTTACTCAGGGTCAAAAGAATTACGCGAACTTTATCTTAGTCAATATATATATACCTTCACTTTCATACTGGAAGAAAAAGAAAGAATCAAAAAAGAAAATTTCAAAAGAACGCAGAAAAAAGTTCTGAAAGATAATAAATTTTTGTTCTTAAGCAATGAAATCATTTCTTCCAACAACAACAATGGCATAATAAGTCTTTTGTAATAGAGATTGTACAGTACATGCAAATAACTAATGCTTTGTTAGATTTACAAGCAGATATTTTAATTTATTTATATAACAAACGTTTTAACCTCTTTATTGAGGCCTTCCTCAGTGAGAAGAAAATAAAATAAATTAAAAATAAAAATACTTAAATTCTGTTAACGTGTTATTTACAGCAGATGTAAAATTGTAGTATGACTGTTAATAAAAATTTTTAACTGCATACTTTTCTTTTTCCTTTCCTCTCACAAGGCGTATTCATTTTTCTCTATCCACGGACAGAAGAACCAAGATGTACCTATAAATAAGAAATTTTAATTTCTTATTACTGTGGAAGGCCTCAATAAAGAGGTCGACACGTTTGTAATATAAATAAATTTACAAAATTAAAGGTTTAATTGTAACTCTAATAATTTATGCATTTCGTATCAGCCAAGTCTATTTTTTGAAATAATTAATGCTGCTAGTGAGAGTGCATTACGGCTCTTGTTACCAGTACTGCAGATATTCCATATATTCCATCACTCGTGACAGTAATACTGAACTCTACTTCTATTGGTAAAAATAATATTTAGCACTCAGAAAAGTAGCATTACTTTCCAGTAAAGTAACAACGCGCAAAACGCGTAACAGTTCTTGGCCTAGTTCTGCAGTGCAGACATTGATGGTTCGATCAGTGGTTAGATTACTGAACAAACAACCAGGAAATCCGCAGTATCAGAGATGTACCATTTTTTTTACTCATAGTCATTAATACTGCGCCTCCACCTCCTTTCTCCAAACCACGATCTTAGCCTACGACCCGAAATATTAAATAAAGAACAGGTTTTTTGTATAAAAGTGTCAACAGTGTATCATGTCATCAAATTTTTCTAGCACACTTCTCAATGAAGTGCTTGTGCCTTTCGAAGGAATGCGATCAAGGGCTGGAGAGAGTCTCATTTTGAAGGGCTAATTCTCTTCTCACAAGAAAAAAGATTTTCGGATAAGAGACTGAGGCGACAGCCCGATTAAAAACATTTTACACATGTACTAATTCAAAGTGCATTCTGGAAAACATGCAAAAAACCTTTTTAGACCTTCCTATGCCTGAGATATTTTCATTTTTCAAAAATTGGGACTAAATATAATGTATTAGTGCGTGCCGAGATGCTCAGCGATCAGCGTCGAATTTTGTGGCCAGGACTATACGCTTTGAAAAAATGCGTGTTTACAGAATGTTGCCAAAGACGTAGATGTCACTTTACGACTACATTCAGTAAACACTATGTCTATCTGAGACCAACTAATTCCATAGGAAAAATATTAAAAGGACGTGGGCCATTAAGGCCCTTTTCTGGCCCAAAACATTCTCGGCTTTTTTGCATTGGAATGATGTCTGGGCATGCCCAGGAACATTTTCAGATAGTGTTTTTTGCGAAATCTCTCGGTCGGATTTTCGAGGCCTGAGGTCCCCCTCAGGG